AACCCTAACCCTAACCCTAACCCTAACCCTAACCCTAACCCTAACCCTAACCCTAACCCTAACCCTGTGACACTTAAGCGGCCCACCGCCCACCTCCTTTTTTTTCTCTCTCTCCCCCCCCCTGCCCTCGGCTTCTTTGTGACACCTAAAGGGCCCACCGCCCACCCTTTAACCTACTTACCTTAGTTGTTTAAACCACCTTACTTCTTTAAAGCACCTTAGTTGTTAAAAACACTTTACTAAACTCTAACTCTTAGTCTTACTCTACTATTACATACAAATCTCTATTTACTATTCCTTTCCTCTTTCTTTCCTAAACGTTACCTTCCTTATATAGCTTTTTCTCTATTCTTAAATTTGTTTTCTTTTATTCTTATACCTAAACCTCTATCTTTCTCTCTGCAACTATCTAATAAATTATACTTTGTTTCTTTTAATTACGAACTCTAACTTATATTCTCTTCTAGTACGCTAGTAATAAGATACCTTAAACCCTTAACTACTATATATTTCTTTTACCTTTATTCTGTTTATTCTTCTTTTATCTATTCTATACGTCTCTATATCTTCTTCTACTACAATTCTCTTCTACGCTTTTTCTTTTCTTTACTTATCTACTCTTCTCTCTTTTCTTTCTACCTACTATACACTACTTCTCTCTTTATTCTTTTCTTCTTACTCTATCTTCTACTTGTTTATTTTACTACACACAGTCTGCTCTTAGTTAAACTTCTTGCAGAATAGTAAAATTCGAATAGTAACAACTATTGCGTTGCTAAAATATTCCCCCTACACTCGCACTCTATGCCGTCTTCCTAGCTACTCTGCATACTCCTTCCACCCCCTACCGAATTGCCTACTGTACCCGCACTGCCGGATTATCTGCATCCCCTTTTCCTGCCCTGCCGCTGCTCTCACCACCGGCACCACCACATTCGGCCACTGACACGCCTGCCCTACATCATCGCCTGTCGCGCAGTACTTCTGACTAACCCAGCCCCGCGGGCAGCTATGCCCCCCGCCTCTATCCCACATGCCCCGTCGAAACGCATCTAGCTCCCTCCCAGTAAGCCCTTCGTGCGCAGTGCAATCCCTCGCCGTATGCTTCTGCCACTCGCCTGTCTCTACCTCTTCTGCCCCAACTAGCCAGCATACTACGCACCCCTCTCGCACCTCCTCAAGCACCTCCTGCACCTGCTGCCACTCCCCGCTCGCCTCTATCTGCTCGTCCTGCCACCCTCGAACCCCCTCTCCGCACCGGTCGCACCCAGCCGTCTCCAAGTCATTGCACTCTACCCGCCGGCCGTCCAAGTAGCCGCTCATCAACCCTCGTCTACACCCGCTGCTAAGAAGGAACACCCCCACCGCCTGCACGTCCAAGTCCCCGCTCTTCTGCTTCATCGCCCGCCCCCCCTCGCCCTTCTCTACCAGCACCACGGCATCCCCCCTCCCGCCAGCTCGCCCGCCTCGCCCGCTCTCCTGTGCGTAGTCGATCATGCTCCACGGCATCCCTACGTGCAGTATGTACACAATCCCCGGGAAGTCGACCCCTGTGCCCAGCGCCGACGTAGCCATGATCAGCCCTCCATCTAGCAGCCACTGCTTCAACCGCTCCGCTCGCTCCATGTCGCTAGCGTGATAGCACCCGCACCCGAGCGCCTCGGCCAGCTCTTCGCACTGCTGCTTGCTGCGACAGTACACTACGCCCTTCTCTCCTCTGTGGAGCAGTAGCTGCTGCTGTCTTCGACACATGGCTAGCGCTGTCTCCTGTGCCTTGCCGCGCTCGCACCACGACACATAGTACTGCGTGTTCGGCCGGACTGTGCTCGCCCGGATGTAGGTTGCGCACGGAAGCAGCATGCTTGTTGCCAGCTCGCCCTCCCTCACCGGCGGGAGCGTTGCTGTGAGCAGCACAATCGGACACGGCAGCAGCCGCAGATTCTTTAACAGTGCCAGCTTCGGCCGCCAGTCGCTCGATGTGATGACTAGATGACACTCGTCCACTACTACTCGCCGCAGCAAGCCCTTGCCGCTGAGCATGTTTGCGTACCCTAAGAAGTTGCCGTTGCTTGTAGTGTCCCCAGCGGCGTCTGCGCTGACCACGACAACAGCCGCCGGGCTGCTCTCGCCGTGCTTCCACTCCATGCAGTCGATGCCGCACTTCTGCATCCGGTCTACTACATCCTCAATGAGCGCTCGGTACGGCACCACGACCACCGTCACCCCAGCGTCGTCCATGCAAGCCGGCACGCTAAACAGCAAGCTCTTGCCTCCACCAGTCGGCAGAACAACGACAAGCGGCGTCTGCCCATCAATCACTGCGTGCAGCGCCAGCTCTTGCTCTGCGGATCGAAACCCAACGTCCTGCTGACCGAGCACCTGCTGCATTGCCTTGTACACTGCCTTCTCCTTCTTGCCTCTATGCAGCAACGCGGCTTCCCTGCCCTGACCGTCCTTATCCCCGTTATTGCCATCGCTGTCGACACCACTGCGCCCCCGTTTCCTCGCCCTCCTGATCACATCGATGTTGCCCGTCCAAGTCTCCTGCGGCGCTGCCTGCTTCCCATCCAGCCCTAAGAAGCGGTGCCACATTGCGCTGAGCGGCCGGAACGCTTCGATCGAGCGCACGCTAAGATGCTTGACAATATCTATTGGCACGCTGTAGTTGCCTACTCCAATCACCGTTGTCCTTGCGTTCTGCAGCTCCATCACGTCCTCCCCATCCTCGTCTACCTCAGCCTCGTCCACCTCGCCAACCTCGTCTTGATAACCCTTGCTAAACCGCTCGCCTACGACAACTCGACCAATGCCGACAGCCGCGTGCCGGTAGTCGAGCGTGTGCAGCGGCACGCCTAGCCTCTTGCCGGTCTCTCGCTTCAGCGCTCGCGTCAGTCGATCGGTCCCCCACGGGCCCTGCTCGTCCGCCCATACGTAGTCGCTGAAGCTGCCGCCGAGCACCTGCACGGTAAGATACTCACGGAACGGCTGCAAGTACGCCAAGTACAGCACCATCACCTGCCCCAGCCGCGGCGGCAAGAAGCGCGGCACCACCTTCGGCTTATCCCACTGCGACTGCGACTTATGATAGCGGACAACCGTCATCACCTGCCCGTCCATAACGAAGAGGTTGCGGTCTTGCAGCAGCCCATTGCGGTGCCGCATCGTCGTGATCTCCGACCCTCTGCCCGGCTGTCCGGACGTCATGTGCACGCAGACCATCAGCAGCATCAGGAAGCGGTCCACGCAACGCAAGTATCGCTTGACCTGCTTCACGTTCCACTGCCCTTCGCTCGACTGCAGTCTGCGGCCCTGCTCAGTCTGCTCAGCCTGCGTTAGCATCCACGCTAGCTTGTCCTTAAGACCGTTATCACGGTGCTGCACAAAAGACACGCCCCGCCGTTCAAACGTAACGTCGTCGACAAGAATGTCTAGCTTGACGGCAAACCGCTCTTCCGCCCTCGTCACCCAGAACAGTTCCTCCCACAGCATCTGCTCTGCTTCAGAAACCATATCCTGCGCCATCTTGCAGAACCGGCTGATGTAGATCCGCCGGCCGTGCAAGTAGAAGATCTTCTTGTCCTTTGACCAGTACGCATTGCCTGAATTGCCGGCCGCTAGCGCGACGTACTTGCCGTAAGCCAGCAAGCTGAGCGCCTCGCTCATTGGGCTGTACGAGCCGTCCGACAGATACTTCTCTCTGTGCTCTAGGAAGCGCTCACGGTCCTCGTCGGTCTGCTCATCGCGGCACGCGGACGGGAGCAACTTCTCCACGCTAAGCACGCGCATGCAGTAGACTACTCCTGCTAGCATGTACGAGTAGTTCTTCGCCGTGCGCAAGCGGTTCGTGTCGCTGTTGATGCCTAGCACAGCAAGAAAGTGAATGAGCCCGCTGCTAAATGGCTTGTCACCCGTTGTCGTGAAGAAGAAGGATGTGAGCAAGTTTAGCAGCACTTTAAGCTGAGCGTCGCGCTGAGCGCTGCGCTGCGCTTCGTCCTTAGCGTCAGCATCGCGATCTAGCACCTCCCACAGTGTTACTACAAGCTCCTTCTGCTCGACTGTCCAGCGGAACAGCTCTCGCGCGTCTTTCATCAAGTCCTTCTCTCTTTGGCCGCTGCTCGGAACGTTCGCCGGTTGGCTGCCATCAGCATCAGAGAAGTCATCGTCGTTCTCTTCCTCTTCCTCTTCTTCCAAGCCATCCTCGTCGCCCTTATCATTATCTTCGTCGCTGCATTCATCGCCGCCTTCCTGCGCCGCCACCCTTGCCTCTGCGTCAGCTACGAAGCGCAGAGCATAGCAGACGAATTTGACCATATAGCCAGCGTAGCGAGCCTGACTCTCCGGGTTCTGCAATCGAGCTATGGGCCGCTGATCGATCTCCTGCCGCTTCGCGCTCCTCAGCCACCGCCTCGTCTCTCGCGCAAGCGTCGACAGCCCCTTGACGCTTCTCCCCACCAGCAGCTCGGTTAGCTTCGCTGCCCGCCGCAGCTTCTCCTCGCCTTGATCGGGCAGCCGGGTCTGATGCGCAAGATGCATCAGATTGCGGTCGGCAAAGTGCTCTAGCCAGCCTGTCCGCTTGAACCAGCCAGTTTTATCTGTCTTTGCGACGTCAGCGTCTATAACCTGCGCCTTCTCTTCGTGTGCATATTTTGTTAGCTTCCATCCTACTAACCGCCCCCTAACGACGTCTGTTGTCTCGTGCGGGTTGGACGGTGCGCGACTGTTGTCTGCTACCTTAACAACAAAGTATCGCTGGAGCCCGCCGGTTCGGAAGAACGTTTGCGCCTTAACCTTCTCGCAGAGTGCAACGTCTTTACTGCTCCAAGCCGTCTGGTGTGCGTTGTTGCAGTGCTTCTGCATTCTAATCTTGTTTGCGGTACAGAAGCCGCAGTCGCTAGTGATCCTGCATTGATAGACGTCCAACGGCTCGCCTAGCTGCTCAATCGGCGGCCCCAACGGCGCAGGCAGCTCAACATCTTGCGGTGCGGCGATCTGCCATTGCCGGCAGTGCTCTACGACGGATTTCCTCTCTTCGCTTGCTACGCCGTGCTGGTCGCGCAGGTGCACATCAACGTTCTGTATGCCTGTAGCGTGCTCCTTGCAGACTAGCACCTGATAGCGCTGGAGATAGCAGAAGCGCTCTTGCACGTTGTTGATTGTTATCTTGCATGCACGCGGTCGCTTGCGGTGCTGCGTTGCAGTTAATGTTGCGGGTGGCTGTGCGTTCTAGCAGAACTCCATGCTTAGCAAGTTAACCCTAAGATAACCCTAAGATAACCCTAAGTACTTCCTATAGTAGGCCCGATTTCATCGCGTAACCCTAACGCTATGCCTATTTTGACGATGATTGGGGGTTAAAAGACACGATGTTCGCCCCCTATAGCAGGCCCGATTCGATCGTGCAACCCTAACGCTACACCCGTTTCGACGATGATCGGGCCCTAACATCCGCGTCCTATAGGTTAGGCTCTCTGCACCTGCTACAGCGCGCTAAAGCCTAGCGGCTAAGGCCTAATTGCTCTCCACCTTAACGCTCCTCACGAGCAATCTGCTAATTAGCCTCACATTAAGCAATTATATCCTCTCCAGCTCCCTTTGTTAAGACTCCTCGCTTCTGTATACGCTTCTTCTTACGCTTCTTTCGCTCTAATGCTGCCTCATTAGCCTTCTTAAGGCTAGCAATCCGATCGCGCATTAGCTCAGCTGAGAGCATTATTATCTCTGCTCCTTTCTCAAGCTAGTTAATTGCTTTAAGAATAGAAGCTAGTGACGAGCTCTTATGCTTCCTAACGCGCTTACAAATTAACGTTAATTAAGCCTCAAGCTCACGTACGTTGCTTAGTGTACAAGCCTCCTAGACAGCCTCTAGCAGAGCAGCTAGAGTAGGCGTACGCAGCTTTACGTCTAGCTTTAACAGGACAGCGTCTAGCTAGAGAGGGACAAGGCCTGCGCCTCTAAAGGCTAAGCAGATATTAGCTGCCGTAAACGCGCGATCAAAGGCTACCTTAAAGGCTAGCAGAAATTCAAGCTTAGTAATGTAGTTAATGCGGTAGCAGATTAGAGCCTCAATCTCACAGCTATAAGCGCGCTTTAATAGCGAAAAGCACCTAACGTCAAGCGGCTGCAGTAGGTGGGATAAGTAAGGCGGCATACAGAGCGTGTAGATGTCGTTCTCCTTGCAGAGCTCTTCAAACTCAATAGAGTAGTAGCTCCTATAGCTATTAAGGACAAGCAGGCGACAGGCACCTATAACGCGAGTCTTCGTGTGAGCATTAAAATGCTTCAGCCACTCGACTCCAAGCTCGTTGTTCGTCCAGCCGTTGTCGCTAACTGCGATCGCCTAGTCGCGTAGGATCTCTGCCTCCTCGTACCAGGCAGATAGGTGATACTAGCCAGCAAAGATAAAGAAGGGTAGGATTGTCCAGCCAGCAGCGTTAATTGCAGCAATTACCGTCACCTACTCGCGATTGCCTGGTTGAACAGCCTTTAGCCGGCCTCTCCTCTCTAACCTAGTCACGACGAGCTGAGTCGTGATCTTGCCTATCATAAAGCCAGCCTCGTCAAAGTTATAGACGTCCTCATCGCAGATGCCGTACTTCATCTTCGTCTGCTCTACAAGCTTAAACCAGCCTTAGACAAGAACAGGATCCTCACACAGAGCTCTCTGCCTATCGTAGGCTCGATTAAAACACGTCGTAAGACTGTCTGTACGCTTAACAAAGTTGCGTAGCTAGTGGACGCCAACGCGACCTGCGCTGCGCTGCGCGAGCAGCGAATCAGCTATATCACGTACAGCTGCGTACGTAGGCGCAAATCCACGCTAATCTAGATGAAGTATATTACGCACAACCACTTCCTCTTCTAGCGTAGTAAGCTTCTTTGAGTTAGGCTAGCAATCGCGTCGAGCGGGCTTGCCAGCGCGTCGGTTACGTAGTGTTGATTCGACGACATTATACGTAGCTGCAGCACAGCTAACAGCTCGTATTTGTGATGTGCTAATTGCTGCAATAGCAAGCTAGATATCTGCTTCGTTTGAAGGCATTAAAGGAATAGGTGGTTGAGAAGTAGATGTCTACGTGTAGAGAGGTGCAGAAGGTTAGTAAGGCTCGCAACTCGCTTAGATTCGCAACTCGCTTATAATCTATGTTATATATTAAGCTTTAATACTTTCTTTATTTTTACGCTTTATAACTGTAATAAATACTTAAACTTTTTTTTAAACTATACTATTAAACTTATATAAACTACTAGTCCTATATAAACTACTAGACCTATATAAAATACTAGACCTATATAAACTACTAGACGTATATTAAATAGTAAGCACTAGACTTACAAAACTACTAGACTCTATTCTCTACCCCGCTTCTAATTAGTAACCTCGGCTATTACCTTATTTTTAAAGTATCTACTGCTACAGTAGGTCTTTCTTCTTTACTACCTCTATACTATGGCTTCTTTTCATGAAATTCAGCCTCTTGGTGACTACCTAGGCTATCTCCCAGCATATAGCTTAATTGTCTGCAAAGACCATGGCGCTGTACGCAATTGGAGAACTCACCTATCACGTAGCCACAAGGTTTCAAAGGAGAGCCAACGTCAGCTTAACAAACAGTACCAAATTCAATCTCTACCGCTTTTAACCCCAGAGAATCACCCTCTCCCTCTACCAAACCAACCGCCAATTTCAGTACTAGGCCTACCTATCCCAGGATTCGCCTGCAGCTATCAAACTTGTACCTTTTTAACAGCAAATCGCCAAAGCATAAAGAAGCACTACAATAAAGAGCATAACTGGAATTCAAGCCAACAAGACCGCCAGCCATGGGCTTGTATCCAGGTCCAGACTTTCTTTCGCTCAAGCGGCTTGCAGCGCTACTTTCAGGTACAATCTCTGCCTGCAGAGGGAAGTGGCTTGTTTACGTCTACCGCTCTAGACGCTATATCCAAGATTTCACAGCAAATCCAGATCTCACAGGCGCAATATACAGAGTCACTCGCTATAGCAGACGCTGCAATTGCCAAAACTGACCACAC